TGACTTTTATGAGTTCCTTATAATAGCATTTGTTCTATTTGTTTTTAGGAGTCATCTTTGTGATCTGTGTCTTTGTCATGAAGGATCATATTCAGTTGTATAAACTGTTCTGTGTACAGTTTCTCTGGCAGTCGTCCTTAATAATAAAAGAAATGCCCATCCCTCCAAAATATGCAAACTTTAGAACATGCATTTCTCAAAGGGAATCACTCCTGTTGAATAGTGAACATGCTAAGTGAAAATTCCCAGCTGGGTACAATGGCTTATACCTATAATCCTAGCACTGTGGGAGACTGAGTCAGGAGACTCACGAGCTCAGGAGTTTGAGACCAATCTGAGCAACAGTGAGACCCCATTTCTCCTAAAAATAAAAAAATTACTCAGTCATGGTCGTGCATGCCTGTAGTCCTACCTACTCAGGATGCCAGGGCAGGAGGATTGGTCACTTGAGCCCAGTTGCAGTAAGCTGTTATGACACCACTGCATTGTAGCCTGGGCAGTAGAGCAGGACTGTGTCTCAAAAAAACAACAAAATGCTATTTCTGGTGGCTCAGTACTACAGACACTTGCTTCAGAGGCAATCATTGCCTTTTAGATTGTTTTTATAAGAAGGCATCTTTTAACATGTCATCATTAAAATGCTATTTTTTTAAAAAATAATTCCTGTCATAATTTGAACAGCTCAGCCTCTCTGCTTATTGGATCATGTATTATCTATATGTTATTCATTCCTTCCTTAGAAATTGCTTCAATTATATGTAATTTACATAATATATATCATATGTAAAATATGAATGAGAGTAGATTTGTATCCTCAGTGGGAAGAAGTGTCTATCTCCTTTTACTCAAAGATTGGGATAATGTTACGTCTATTGTTAACAACCAGGGGAGTCTGACTTTTTTTCTTGTCTGCTACACATTGAAAGAATAAGAGTTGTCTTGAGCCACATAGTAAATACATAAACACTGATGAAAGGTGATGAGCCAGAGAAAAGGGCTATGCGCACTTTTGTGATATCTGACACCACATAAATAAGTTCTCAAATATTCTGCTTGTGGCAAGTGGGTGGCAGGTTGGGCACCACTGTACCCATTCTTTTTTTAATAAATGAGGCTTCTGTGTTTTTAATAGTTTATTCTTTGAAAGCATATGTGATGTTGACATTTCTGACTACTCAATATTAGGATATGGTTAGAGACTCTTTTTTCACTCTCAACAATTCCAGCATTTTAACATGGGAGAGTAAAATCAAACATTAGGGTGGTAGAGTGGTACACACCTGTGATCTCAGCTACTCAGGAGGATGAACTGGGAGGATTTCTTAAGGCTAGGAGTTTGAGACCAGCCTTGGCAATATAGCAAGACCCCATCTCTTAAGAAAAAGAACCAAACATTAACATGTACACAGTTAATATTGACCCATTTTTATTCTAAAACTTGTTGAAAGTGGTGTAATACACTCTTGTTAGTGTTATGCTTAAGTTTTCAGTTAAGGGGTACCTTTTGTTTTAATGGAATTATTAGTTGATTTTCCCCCCCATATTTGGCAGTAGTACTTTAATGGAGGTAGCTGTTCTTCAGGATTAGAAAAGTTCTTCTGTCCTTTGCATATCAGTTTTCCAGGACTTCACATTTTTAAACCCACATTATGAGTATCAACGGAATGGATGTACTTGTGTAGTAATTTATTATGATTGTTTTACGAGGGTTGGCAATGTATAATAAACCTCATCACTTCTTTGTAAGACTATTTTTTTTCCTCCTTGAGACATAGTATCTGTGTTGCCTAAGCTGGAGGGCAGCCTCCAACTCCAGGGCTCATTCAATCCTCCCTCCAGCCTCATCCTCTTGAGTAGTTTGGGACTACAGGTGCCCACTACCATGCCTAGCTAATTTTGTTTGAGAGGTAGGGTGTCATATGTTTGATATCCTGCTCCTGGCCTCAAGCAGTCCTCTTACCTCAGCTTCCCAAAATGCTGGGATTATAAGCATGAGCACCTAACCAAGACTCCTTTAAAAAGAACTCTAGTGATTGTTTTTTAATATTGAATGTGAGAATTATGATAAGCTACCCTTATAAAGATAAAATATTGACAACTAGCACTTGGCTAAATTCTGAGGATTACCTTTCTAGGCATCAATAATATTAATGTTTTATGAATGCAGATTCACATTTTTGCAAACATGAAAAGGTTTAATTAAAGTTTTTTAATAGGCCCATTGTCCTGGTTGATGCTTATAATCCTAGCACTGTGAGGGGCCCAGGCAGAAGGATTATTTGAGCTCAGGAGTTGGAAACCAGCCTGAGCAAGAGCAAGAACCTGTTTCTAAAAATAGCCAAAGGGTTGAGGTGGGCGCCAATGGTCCCAGCTACTCAGGAGGTTGAAACAGGAGGATCTCTTGAACCCAGGAGTTTGAGGTTGCTGTGAGCGAGGGTGACACCATGGCGCTCTAGCCCAGGAGCTAGAGTACAACTCTTGTCTCAATAAATAAAGTCTCTTAATAGACCAGGTGTCACAGAGAATTAATTAATCCTTTTGTCCATTAGTTTATGCTTCTATGTATTTTTCTTGTTAGCCTTTACCAAAGGCATATATAAGTTATTCCTCAGTAACCATGGGGGATTGATTTCATCACCTCTGTGATCTCAAGTTCCTGATGTAAAATTATAACATTTTCATATAGCCTATGCACATCTTCCCATATACTTTATATTTACTTATTTTTTGGAGACAGTCTCCTTTTGTCACCCAGGCTAGATAGAATGCCATGGCAGCATCATAGCTAACAGCAAACCCAAACTCCTGGATTTGTGATCATCCTGCCTCATCCTTCTGAGTAGCTGGGGCTATAAGGGCCTGCCACTGCACCCAGCTAATTTGTCTATTTTTAGTCTTTTGTTCCAGGTGGTCTTGAACTCCTGAGCTCAAGAAGCCTTCTGTCTTGGCCTCCCAGAGTGCTAGGATTACAGCTGTGACCTATTGCACCTGGTCTTCTGATATGCTTTAAGTCATCTCTGGATTATTTATGATACCTCTTACAGTAGAAGTGCTATATAAGTAGTTACACTGTACTTAGGGAATAGTGATGAGAAAAAATGTCTAATATTCAGTACAGATGGAACCATTTTAGGCCTAACTACATTTTTAATCTCATGTATAGGTAGGGCTGACTGTATATAGAAGTAACATATTTATAATAACCATTTTAAGAGTACAAGTGAATTTAAGAACAGATTCTCACAAGTAACATGTACTAAATTTCCAGTAGCTTATGGAAATACAGAAAATATTTTGTTGATTTATGGCAGTTTTAAAAGTTGTTTTAAGGTTTTATAACAGGGACCATGTAGGTACTGTTGGGTTATTGAGGTACACTAAGGCATTTGTGGATCCCCTTCACTATTTTTTTTTTTTTTTTTAAAGAGACAGAGTCTAACTTTGTCACCCTCCATAGAGTGTTATGGCGTCACAGCTCATAGCAACTTTCAGCTCCTGGGCTTAGGCGATTCACTTCTTGCCTCAGCCTCCCAAGTAGCTGGGACTACAGGCGCCCACCATATGCTTGGCTATTTTTTGTTGCAGTTTGGCTGGGGCTGGGTTCAAACCCGCCACCCTTGGTATATGGGCATCCTACTCACTGAGCCACAGGTGTGGCCAAGATGTAAAATCTTGTGTACCTACTTTTTACGTGCATATTTTACATTTGGGGGATTCCATACTTCATTTCTCAGGTGAATTTAAGATCCAAATATGTTTTGAAAACAATGTTGATATAAGGCAGTATTTTTCAACCTTTTTCATTTCACAGCACACTTGAACCTATAGTTAAACTTCTGGGACACGAATTATGTTAGCAGTATTTTTCAACCTTTTTCATTTCACAGCACACTTGAACCTATAGTTAAACTTCTGGGACACGAATTATGTTAATCAAAAAAAAATAAAAATATGTATTTACTGTGCTTTAAACGTTTTTCCAAAATAATTTAATTAATGTTCTTTAAAATTTTTCGAGCACACCACTTGAAAATCACTGATCTAAGGTAGTAATTTCTAATGTTTCTGGATCATGTATCCTAACAGTTAAGAAAATATTGAGTAAAATCTGTATGTCTGTAAATTGCAGTCTGTATTACCATAGTATTTCAGGAACATTATAAAACATTTTATAAGGATAACAAACATCAATCTGTCTCCCAGTGAAAAGTTTGGGGTACATGCTCTTTGAAGAACATTTATCTGGGTATTATGTAGGCTAAGAGAATCTTTTTCTGATGGAGAACAACAGACATAGTAAATATGCCCTACCTTGGTAGAAATATAAGATTTTATAGACATAGTAGTGTTGGGCTCCTTTGTAGGTTAAAATTTTAAGCTGTGTTTTCCTGAGGAACAACAATCCATGTTAGGGCCTAGGCAAATAACGGTTTAGTAAAAACTCCTAACAATATATTATAAGTCATTAGGAGATTTGAACATTATTTAGGATTTAGTAGAGTTAAACAAAAATAAAATTAAGTTGAATTTTATGTTGGTGACAGTTACTTGGAAAAAATGGGTAACATTTTGAATTAAAAGGAAAATCCTTGGCTCACGCCTATAATCCCAGCACTTTGGGAGGCCAAGGTGGGCAGGTCACCTGAGCTCACAAGTTTAAGACCAGCCTAAGCCAGATCGAGACCCCCCCATGTATGAAAATAGGTGTTGGGGAGGGGGGTGCCTGTAGTCCCAGCTCTTGGGAGGCTGAGGCAAGAGAATCCTCAAGCCTAGGAGTTTGAGGTTGCTGTGAGCTGTGACTCAGCGGCACTCTGGAGGGGGAGGGTGATGAGACTCTGTCTCAAAATTTAAAGAAAAGGAAAATCCTTACTTGAATGGAAATAGTTACATCTACAAGATGATAGATTCATAGAATACTGTTAAGAACTTTAACATGCTGTTCTTCAGTTGATTAAAACCTGTTTTTAAAAGGCTAAATGTGATTTTATTGTAATTCCTAGGGTGTTAAACGAGAACACGGATGAAACTACCTGAAGTCAAGCTTCCAGAATAATTCCAAGGAGTTTAAAGACCAGGAGTACTGGAATCATCCTTACAGGTCAGTCAGCATCTGTTCATAATTTTCTTACAGCCACTCACATAGTCATTCTTCCTAATTCCTATTCCATTTACTATAGTGAGCATATGTAATGGTCCCAGTGTCTTGAGTTAGTAGGATATTTATGAGTATAGCTGAAACTATACTGTAGCTGAAAGCACTACAGTTCCATTTGTCTTTGTATAGAAATCCCTATCATTGCTAACCATCTTTGAGCAAGGTTGGTGGGAAGGAACTTTCGGCTCCAAATCATTGTTTTCTCAGTGGTAGTAGTATGAATAATGATCATCTTTAGGTAAAATTGGATTAAGAGGAGAAATGATACAGGAATTTTGGGATAAGGAGAGGAAAAGAAAAGGTCTTACAAAGGGAACAGATTCCCTATTGGTTTTTAGTGACCCCAAGCCTAAAACTTTAGTCTTAACTAATCTTCAGGAAAAAAAAATCCTCAGAATGATGTAAAAATCAGGTACAGGCTAGAGCTAGCTCCATTTCTTCCTCTCTGCTTTCCACTCTTTATTGTTCTATCAGACATTGTAAAATTTTATTGAAACATTGTGTAATCTTTATGACAGAATTCCATTGGGTATACAGTAGATCCAGAAACTACTATTTTAACTTGTAGAGGTTTTTTTCCTAATTGTATTATCTGATAATAAACATTATTATCTTATTTTTTTCTGTTACAAGTGTAGTGCTGGGGACCAGGAGTGAAGGCATTGCCTGAGAGTTGCGTGGCAATGCAAAGTCTACCCTCAGGATGGAGAGTGGCCTTTGAATCACAACATCCATTTCAATAAGACCAGTAGGTATCTGGGCACTCCAAGAAGCACTAACATATTCTGTTACCTTTGAGAGATTTTACCTTTTTAAAGTATCTGGTGCCCACTTAATGTAGCAGCAAAGTCTGACAATTCTTTTGCATACTATCATCCAGTTCTAGAAAATTAATTTTAGGTGTTGGTTTTCAAGGCTGGTCTGTAGACCAGTAGCAGCAGCATCTTGGAACTTGTTAAGAATGCACATCTCCAGGCCACATTGAACAGAAACAGATGCATTGTTTAAAGCCCAACAGGTAATTTTGGTTTCTTCTAGAGAACCACTGACCTAAGGAATTATTGGAAAAATTAGGATTGCCCTTTGAAACATGTTTATGGATTAATTTTATATTCTGTGGACGTTTTGTTGGGATTTTCAAGTTGCTGTATATGTAGATTGATAAAGCAATCTCAAAGTACATGGATAGGGAAAAAATCTGGGTCCAGGCATCCTCAAACTATGGCCCAGGGGCCACATGCAGCCCGCCTAGGACGTTTATCCAGCCCACTGGGTATTTTTGCCACCACTGCCTGTCCTGCTTAGCAGCCAACTCGTCCCAGGGCCTTCAGTCTGAGGGACAGTGAACTGGCCCCCTGTTTAAAAAGTTTGAGGACCCCTAGTATAGGCTATCTGTGGCATTATGTGGCCTTCTAAAAGAGAGAAGGGAGATTTTGTAAGCTTGTTAAAACAGATTTGTTGGCTCGGCACCTATGGCTCAAGCGGCTAAGGTGCCAGCCACATACACCTAAGCTGGCAGGTTTGAATCCAGCCTGGGCCCACCAAAAAACTACAACAGCTGCAACCAAAAAATAACTGGGCATTGTGGCATAGTCCCAGCTATTGGGGAGGCTGAGGCAAGAGAATTGCTTGAGCCCACAGAAGTTGGAGTTTGCTTTGAGTTGTGATGTCACAGCACTCTACTCAGGGTGACAGATTGAGGCTCTGTCTCAAAAACAAAAAAAAAAAAACCAAAAACACAGATCTGTCATTCAACTGGAGGGTTTTGAAATTGAAAATTACATCATTTTCTAAGAAAGTAAAAAGAAACGGGGGTTCATTTCAGAAATATACATAAATAAAATTATTAAGATGCTAAACATATACTTAATTGTACCAAAAATGAAACTGAATTGCTTTTATTACAAAGAGTTCAGAAAGTACCAATCTCATATAGATCCTTATTCAAAAATCTTAATCTGCTGTTTGGCGAGTTTAAATTGAACACGTTTTCTTTATGATTGAAACTTCTTCCTAAGGAAAAACTTCAGGAGTTAAGTTTCTGCTTACTAATGAATTTGTCCTCCAGGTCAAATCATTTCACGGGTAAAGGACTTTTTAATAACAGGAAAACAAAACAAATCTTACTTCACTTATCGATTTATTACTCCATATAAACAATTTATGAATAGATGAGCAGTCATAACACATTACATTTTAAAACATGCCTCAGAGGCATGTTTTCTATGGTTAACATTTCCATTTTTATTCAGGGATTTTTGTTGTTTTACAAATTACATCAAGATAAGTAAAGAAGTCAGATCTAGAAATCCTAGCTTTGGTCTCTAAAGAGAAGCATTATTTTGTAAGTCAGCAGAAGATGAAGGAAAACAGTGGATTTTACTAAGTGGTCTTGGCAAAGATTTGGGAATGATGAAATTTAATACTTTATGCTATGAAACATGTTAATCTTATGAAATATTAAAAATTTAAATTCTTCTCTTTTTTGTGAATTAGTTTTTGATATTCTGTTGTATCTGTCCTGCCTTTCCCTGTGTTGGTAAATCTTCCTTCTTGAGCATTTCTGTTTCCCCTAGTTTTTATTTTAACCAACTAGCATTTCATGATAAATGCATTATCAGGCCTTTGTGAACAGCCTGCTGCTAAACCTCACCAGCCTGGGTTACTGGGATGGTGGCTCACTATGAAAGCTACTCAGTAGGATGCATACAAACACAGGATAAAGTAGAATTCAAACATATGATCATTCTAACAAATTCTACATGAAAATCAGATGGGCTTGACAAAGACTGAAACCAACTCCTTACATCTATAATTATTCAACATTTGAGTCCCTCTCTCTTCACTATAGCAGAAAAAAGGATAGGTAACATACTTAATGCCATAGCCATTAGAATAAACCTAAGCTGCCAAATATTGTTAGTAAATTATTGAGTTAATTGCATTGTCCTTGCCTCAGTATACACTGGAAAGGAATAATGGCAGAGGGAAGATAACTCTGGTGATTGCTTCTCAGCCAGCCTGGCTAAAGAGCAAGGTAGCCCATGTCTGGTAGACCATGTGCTCTTAACCCCGAGGTCACCCCTACTCTAAATCCTAGTACATGTATACAAAGTGGTGGCTTTGGTCTTGGCCAAAAGATCTGTAAACCTTTTGGTAAGGTGCTGCTTGAGGGTTGCTTTGTTTTTGGAGGGATTACTGCTCATGGTTTCCCATGCTGCCTCATTACAGTGCCCAGCAGTATTAGCCACCCTTAGTGGAGCACAGCAACATTGGCTCACAGCAACAAAACCTCCCAAGTGGCAGCTTCTAGCCTAGTCCAGTCCCCTTTATAAGAAAACCGAACTTATTCATCATTTATTTATTTTTATACTCAAAGACAAGTGTACTTTTTAACCTGGCTATGGAGCTATGGGTTAGAGCAAAACAATTGTTACAAAAGACTTTGTTATACTCCTAGAAGACAGGTGTTTACAGACAGAACTTCCTACACATCCTGTAAAAGCTGATGTACAGACAACTTATGTTTCAGAGTAACTTGCACTTTTCTCAGTAATTCTCACAAAGTTAAAGACTGCTTCCTTGCTGACTTTCCACAGCTTCCATACTTCTCAGCCCTAAGGGAACTGTACAGATTTTCTATTTGGGTTGGTTACACATCTTAGCCCTACCTTCTTGATGAAGATCAGATCACTTGCTGATCTGTTCCTGTAAAGCTGTTCGTCTTAGGCCTTTTGAGAAAAAATTTATTTCAAGACTTTTCTTGGCTGTATGTCTTTATCCCAACTTTACTTCCTTCAGAAAACTATGAAATCAGATACAGTACTACTAATATTATTCAACTGAGTTGAAAATGTCCAATCTTAGCCATCATTTGGCTAGAAAAACCATACATTTAATATCCACCTTGTTTTGACATCCTGAGACTTGAAATAAAAAGGAAATGGTATATTCATTGAGAAAAAGCAATTTGAGGACTTAAAGTAAAATGGTTCTTGGAAATGTTTATACACTGTACATGGGTGTGACATCATCATGTGACATTCTAGAGGAAAAAAAAGTTTTACACTGAGTATAGTACCAGCCTCATAACTCACTGCAACCTCAAACTCCTGGGTTTAAGCAATCCTGTTTCAGCCTCCCAAGTAGCTGGGACTAAGGTGCCCACAAGCCTGGCTAGTTTTTCTATTTTTAGTAGAGATAGGGTCTTGCTCTTGCTCAGGCTGGTCCCAAACTCCTGGGCTCCAGGGATTCTCCCGTCTTGGTCTCCCGGAGGTCTCCCAGAGTGCTGTGATTACAGGTGTGAGCCACTGGACCCAGCTTGAATATTTTATACATTTATAAATTAATAAGTAAACAATTTTCAACTTCTCCATAATCCAGACTGAACTAAGCTTGATTTTTCTGAGTGTCTGCCAATATTTAAGATGATGTAAGAGTTAGACCAGTAGGCAATACACAAACGCAGGAACTCTTCCTCTGGAGTACAACCATAACTCAGCCTTGGCTGGGACCTTCGGCCAGTCTTCTCAGTCAGTGTTTAATACAACAGCAGCACAGGATGTGGCTTTTCAACATCACTAATCAGATTCCAAGAACAACAAGGGTAAAAGCTCACATTTAATTTAATTTCTTTTAAGGCTTCATAAAGTCCTGGTTTATACTCTGCATACATCTTAGATTTTCATTGTTATCCTGTTAGCATCTGAACAGACAAGTGATTACTGCACATTTGCTAAGTTATTACTGAGACCTCTTCCCTTTCTGCTTGGGGGTTATATAGAAACTGAATACAGAGGGTACCAAAAAAAGTATACATATTTTAAGAAAGGAAAAAACTATATGAAATTTGTAAAACTCAAGTCACCTTTGACTTCTGCAATTGTGAAAGGTGCTCAGTGTGACTGGTATTCATCTTTTGTTATTGCTGTGTATTTGAGTATTACAATTTTCATATAGTTGTTCCTATCTTAAAATGTGTATGCAGTTTTTTGGCACCCTCTCCTTGTATATGTATTAGAAAAGGTCAGGCTCCCCCCACGTCACCATATCAATCCATACTTAGTGTTGAGTACTTGAATGTAACATGCTCCCTTGCTAGGAGCAATTGTGGTTGAATTTTTTTTCTTTTTTTTCTTTTTTCCCCCTTTAAACACAGAAATTTATGAGAGCTAGTAGAAAATTTTTAGTTAGAAAAAGTTTTTAATTTTCTTAAATAATCCTCATATGTACCATCCACATTGTGGAAAAACTGAAATACACAGTCTGGACACAATGCTGAGATGTCCAAACACTGGCATCAACACACCCTCTCTCCCATCTTACAGATGACAAAAGACAGGCTTGCACCATAGGAGGTGTACAAAGTTTTACATGTGAAGGTTTGAGATGTGCCAGGAGAATAACAAACTGTTTCAAAGAGAATGTTTAGGAATAGGTCTGAAAATAACCCCATCCCAGTCCTTTGTGTGTGGTCACTGCAGCTGCACTCTGTATGCTCCTATTAGCAGCTTCACCTATTGAAAAAAAAAAAAAGTGTGTCAGTACAGAACTAGAACATTAAGAACACTATCTGTGGCTAACAATTGTTTCTTTAATTTGGCAATCTTTTCAACTTGGTTATCAATTTACATTGTAAGATTGTTGGTCTTTTATTTTACTAAAAACAGAAAAAGAGTTTTACTATGTTGTGCAAGCTGAAGTATTACAGCTGTTCACAGGCACCAACCCATTACTAATCAGCACAACAGCACTAATCTGATCAGTTTACCGATCCTTAGGCAACTTAGGGGGTCCCCACTACCCAGAGGTTACCATATTGACACCAAAACTTACTGTGGATCCATCAATAAGTATAGCACCCTACAGCCCAGAGTGGCTGGGACTACAGGTATGCCATTTTAATTTTTAAAATTTCCAAGTGCTGGCTTGGCACCCATAGCACTAGAGGTTACGGCACCAGCTACGTACACCGAGGGTGGCAGGTTCAAACCTGGCCCGGGCCAGCTAATAAACTGCAACAAAAAAATGCTGGGCATTGTGGGAGGTGCCTGTAGTCCCAGCTACTTGGGAGGCTGAGGCAAGAGAATCACTTAAGCCCAAAGAGTTTGAGGTTGCTGTGAGCTGTGACGCTACTGTACTCCATTCAGGGCAACATAGTGAGAATCTATGCCCCCCAAAAATAATAATAATAATCCACGTTTATAATTTGATTTTAGGTATTATGTGAAATAATTTCTGGAGAGTAAGTGATCAGCCTAAAATATGGCAATTCAATACCAATGTCTAGAACATGACTTAGACTGCTCCTTCCTCTAGAGCAACATCACTCTCAGCTTTTACTCTTAGTCCCTTTCCTGCCTCTTTATGTCTAACAAGCTTCATCCAGACACAGATATGCATTTAGCACTGCTACCCTAGGGAGCACTTGTTAGGATAAGCACACCACCACAATTTTTAAATTTTCTTGTAATGATTCTAAGTAACCTGGACTAACAGTTTGAGCAGTAACGCTAAATACAATGAAAAGATTTTCACCTTAGCCAAGGGTGCTTCTGTCAACCTTATGAAGAGTTTATTTGGGCCTGGGACAGGGCTGAATGAGTAAACAAAATGACTGTCCTAGAACAGGAAGAGAAGAAAAGTCACTGTTCTTGCAGACAAACTTACACAACCTTTTTAAAATAAACAGACCAGAAACCTTTAAGACTCCAATGGTATAAGAGAATCATAAGTTTTATTTTAGATTTTCTAGGTCAATACGTTATTAAATTTTTCTTTTTTTTTTCCTTTTTTTTTGTATGTTGCCCTCAGTAAAGTGTTGTAGTGTCTGTCACAGCTCATAGCAACCTCAAACTCTTGGGCTTAAGCCATTCTCTTGCCTCAGCCTGCCAAATAGCTGGGAATACAAGTGCCTGCCTCAGGACCCAGCTATTTTGTTTAGCTGGCCTGGGCAGAGTTTGAACCCACCAGCCGTATGTGGCCAACAACCACTGGGCTACGGGCACGGAGCCTGTTATTTAGTTTTTTCTTGATTAAAAAGATACAAATGAGAAAAAATAATATCCAGGTGAATCTTTGGAATCAGAATGTAACCTGCCATATATAACAATGCTCAGTTTTGCTTAATTTGAGCCAAGGAAAGAATTCTAAAGTTAGGAAAAGAATCAAGAGCATTTTTTATGGTATTAAAAAAGAAAAAAAGAACCTGGCGGCGCCTGTGGCTCAAAGGAGTAGGGCACCGGTCCCATATGCCAGAGGTGGCGGGTTCAAACCCAGACCTGGCCAAAAAAAAAAAAAAAAAAAAAAACACCTGTAGCTCAATGGCTAGGGCACCGACCACATACACTGAGGCTGGCGGGTTCGAACCCAGCCCAAGTCTGCCAAACAATAATGACAACTACAACAAAAAAAATAGCCAGGTGTTGTGTTGGGCACCTTATAGTCCCAACTACTTGGGAGGCTGAGGCAAGAGAATCTCTTAAGCCCAACAGTTTGAGGTTGCTGTGAGCTGTGATGCCACAGCACTCTACTGAGGTGACAGTGAAACTTCGTCTTAAACAGCCACTAATAGATTAGTTATTCATTAAAACTAAGCATACCAGCTCAGCACCTGTGGCTCAAGCTCCAGCCACATATACCTGAGCTGGCGGGTTCAAATCCAGCCCAGGCCTGCCAAACAACAATGATGGCTGCAACCAAAAAATAGCCGAGCGTTGTGGCAGGTGCCTGTAGTCCCAGCTACTTGGGAGGCAGAGGCAGGAGAATCACTTGAGCTCAGGAGGTCGAGATTGCTATGAGCTATGATGCCATGGGACTCTACCCGGGACGACAGCTTGAGGCTCTGTCTCAAAAAAATAAAACTACTAAGCATACTAATGTATTTGAGTATTTGAAACATGAAAATCCTGGGTGGCACCCATAGCTCGGTGGGTAGGGTGCCAGCCACATACACCAAGGCTGGTGGGTTTGAACCCAGCCTGGGTCAGCTAAAACAATGACAACTGCAACAAAAAAAAAAGCCAGGTGTTGTGGTGGGTGCCTGAAGTCCCAGCTACTTGGGAAACTGAGGCAAGAGAGTCACTTAAGCCCAGGAGGTTGCTGTGAGCTGTGACACCACGGCACTCTGCCCAGGGCGACAGCTTGAGACTCAGTCTCAAGAAAAAAGAAAAAGAAAAAAAAAACATGAAAATCCCTAAATTTTCCGTAAGCAAATTATTATTGTGGAAAGGGCATAATATTTACAATCAAGCAGTATGTTTCTTCAACTCTAACAACTTATTCTGAATAATGCTGGCACCAAGACATTATGGACAAAGAAATGAAATAATACGCAAAATGTAGAATAATTTTACTTTATGGGCACTGCCTCCTTCCCAACAACTGGTTACTGCTTTATTTACCAAATGATTGCATTTTTGATTAGAAGAATTTACTTTTCAGTACTGAACTATAGAGTATCTTACCAGAAAAACAGGAAGTTGAAATTTATCATTTAAGACCACAGCTTGTACACTGCATGGTCCACAGAGTCGAGCAATAACTTCTTTACCCAGAAAGTTTGCATGGAAAATAAACAGCAGGATGCCAGAGCCTGAAAAACGAAGAAGTGAGTAGATTTACACACAACCCTCAGACTTGAGGGAAAAGCACCTATGTAAGATGGAAGTGGGTTCTGAGCTAGGCCTGGCGGTAAGTGGCCACCCACCCTCTCAGACCGAAGGCTCTGTGAATGCTGCCAATCTCAAAGCCTATATATGTTACCTAACATTTTTCAAACCACAGAACACTATTTATTTATTTTTTTAAGACGGCCTTGCTCTACTGCCCATGCTACAGGATAATGGCATGATCACAGCTCACTGTAGCCTCAAGCTTCTGGGCTCTAGTGATCCTCCTGCACTGGCCTCCCAAGGCTGCTGGAGGCCAGAACTACAAGTACAAGGCACCACGTCTGGCTACTCTTTACTTTTTGTCTGAAATACTGATAGTTCTGGAAAAGACTTAAATGCAATTTTCTACACTAAAAGTTATTTCAGTTTTTTAAAAAGTAGTATTTTAAAGTTGCCACTGAATGTATGTACCTGACCTTGGAAGCTAACCCATGGCCATTTCTATGGTGGTGGTTTCTGGGTGTGAGTTTGACTAATTTTTCATTTTCTTCCATATTATTTTGCCTTTTCCAAACTTTGTGATTAATACCAAAAAAAGATGTTGGAAAAAGATGTTAGCATGAGACATGAAGCTTTCATTCAATATCAAACATATTCTGTAAAACTCATTTTCTTCAATAGTTGTCCTTTTAGTAATAAAACAGAAAATAGGTATATGAACTGTATGACCTTTCTGTTAAATTAACCATTTTTAACATGGTGCAATATTGCTCTAGCCCAGTAAAGAGTAAGAGAAGACTTTATAAGACCCCTAAGCAACAGAAAAAAGGGCAAGGGCACTTGAGGTCCTGACTGACACAGTGTGTCCTCCAGCTTTTTAATAATATACTCCCCATCAAGGAGGAGACCAGGGTTGCACAGAATGCAGGGCCAGTCTCTGTATACAAGGCATGCCAGGTAGGGTACACTGAAGGGCCGGAGTCCCCTTATTGTCTTCGGTGGCTCAGGCATATTTCTGACTCTACCTCCCATAAAGAATTCATTTAAGGGGGTTATCTGCCAGTTTTTTACTCTGACGATATTTAACTTTCATATTTAACTTTCATAGGTCTAAAATGACATATTTGCTAACAGTTGTTTCAGTTGGAACATCAATACTTAAGACCTGTAATCTTCTGAATAGTTTGGCTTAAGAGTCAAAGCCCCTCAAGAGGCCCATTTAGTGTGCTTAAATTTTACCATCTGGACAAATCACCTAAGATCTTGCCTGGGAGAAGACAAAGAGCCAGTAGCTAGCTCCCAGCAGCAGCAGAGACTTCACCCTGAACAGCTGCAAAGGCCAGAAGAGCCTATCAGGACCTTGGACTGGAGATTTCCAATGAATCATAAAACCCAGTGGATGCAGACTTTGTGCGTTTACAGAAAAACTCTAACCCCATGGGTAGCACCTGTGGCTCAAAGGGATAGGTCGCCGGCGCCATGCTGGAGGTGGCAGAACACAGCCCCGGCCAAAAACTGCAATAAATAAAATAGCATAATCCTTTAAATTAAAAAAAGAAAAAGAAAAACTCTAACCCTAAGCTGGTCTGGTTGTGTCAACGTTCCTGGGCTCATTAGGTACCTAGGCCTGGCTTGGTGCTCATACCCAGTCATGCACACAGTCCACATGAATGGTCAAAACTAAAAATGATGACTCTTCAATGTTAGATACACTTCACATACCAAGATGTTAAAAATGGTGGTCTTTAAATCAGTAGGGCTCTAAGTTCTTTTAATTAATGAATACATGCCATTTTTAAAATGGGAATAGGTTTTTTAAAAAAATTATTATGGTTATAAAATAGTTGCACATTTTTACAGGGTATGTGTCATGTTTTGATGCTAGCATACAATATGATATATTAAATCAGGGTTATTGGGGTATCTATCACCTCAGGCATTTTAACATTTCTTCTTATTACCAACATTCCAATTCTACTCCAGTGAGATGAAAGTTTTAAATTTTTAGTTCTCACATAGGATTAAGAACATGGAAGGCTCATCTTTCTATGCTTGGCTTTTCAGGAGTAAGGGGTTTCTTAAAAAATAAAAAAGCCCCGCTTCCTCCCTCTAAGCAGATTCTACGTTTAGACTTTGAAGCTAAACTTGAGTAAAACACAGTGTAATTATTCAGATCAACCTCCACATTTTTTAAACCAGTGTTAACACATGATCTGCAGACCCTCCAAAGTCAGCTTTACTGTTAACTATTTTGTGAAATTATGCATAATGGGATTTCTTTAAAGTGTGGTTCAAAGAAGGAATTCTGTCTAAAAATTAGTGTCATATTTAACACTGATAGAAGTTTAAAGGTAAGCATAGACTTACCTTCCATAATGTTTTGTGGGGGTTTGTAATTGAAATCTGTTGAAAAATCTGGCCCCTCACAGAGTCGATGACATGCTATTGGAAAGACTGGTTCTAAAAGAACAAGACGAGCTTCAAAGTAATCCTTTATTGTCTCTTCTGCTACTCTTGAAAGTCTAAGAGAAAAGGGTAGTAAGAACTATTAATGTTGTGAAAATAAATAATGTAAAATCTAAGTTATTGGAACTTTAAATTATTCTGAGCCTTAAAGTAATGTGGTTGTGGGGCTAAGGTCCATGACAGGCAGCTGTAACCTGGTTTTCTCTTATAGTGGGATGTCCTTCTTCCTTACTGGCCTTGTTTTGGAAAATGTTTTAATGACTATGGGTACAGGGAAGCCCCTTCCCACTTCACTGTTGATCTTCAATATAGATTAACTTCCCTCTCACCTTTCTCATGTATATATAGACTTCATGACTACCACAGTCTTAAGAAGCACTGTTAAGGGCGGTGCTCATAGCTCAGTGGGTAGGGCACCAGCCATAGACATCCAGGCTGGAGAGTTCAAACCCAGCCTGGGCCAGCTAAAAAACAATGACAACTGCAACAAAAACTTAGCTGGGTATTTGGCAGGAGCCTATAGTCTCAGCTACTTGGGAGGCTGAGATAAGAGAATTGCTTAAGCCCAGGAGTTTGAGGTTGCTGTGAGCTGGGCAACATAGTAAGACTGACTGGAAAAAAAAAAAAAAAGATGGAATGTTAAATACTCTCTTTTAAACTGGAAAGAAAATGAAAGCAAGCAGTATGGAAAAGGAAAACTGTTAACTAAATTACTGTAACTCATAAACCAGTCTCACATGGAACATGTTTTAATCCTAACTGAACTTGTTTTCAGACTATAAACAAGAACTTAAGTTTGGAACACTGACCCCATTTCTGGAGTCTGTGTCTGGTTTCTAAATGCCCATTCCCAGCTTTTTGCTTCAATAAACTCTTAAAAATGGATTCTGATCCTTTGTTATATCAGGTTGATAATGTCTCAGGGCTCAGCTGGAAGTGAGGTTCTGTTCTAAGTGGGCAGAAGAAGTCTTTTTCCCCACCTGCTGTTTTCACATCTCTGATGTTAGTATCCATCAGGCGGTGAATAGGTTTAAAAAAAAAAAACAAAACATGCATATACATAGTGGAATGCCACATGGCCAAAAAATAAAAATGAAGCCATGTCTTTTGCAGTTAACAAGGATAGAACTAGATGCTGGGAGTTTTTTTGTTTGTTTTTTGAGACAGAGCCTCAAGCTATTCCCCCTGGGTAGAGTGCGGTGGCATCACAGCTCACAGCAACCTCCAACTCCTGGGCTCAAGTGACTCTCCTGCCTCAGCCTCCCAAGTAGCTGGGACCACAGGTGCCCGCCATAACGCCCGGCTATTTTTTTGGTTGCAGCTGTCATCATTGTTCTTTGGTGGACCCAGGCTGGATTCAAACCTTAGGTGTATGTGGCTGGCACCTTAGCCTAAGTGCCTGTTTGTTTTTTAACTGAGACAGAGTCTCACTTTGTCACCCCACATAGAGTGCTGTCACATCACAACTCACAGCAACCTACAACTCGGGCTCAAGTGATTCTCTTATCTCAGCCTTCCTCATTAGCCGGGATTACAGGCGCCTGCCACAGTGCCCAGCTAGTGTTTTTTTTTTTTTTTCTTCAGTTGCAGCCCCGGAGAATGTGGCCAGTACCTAGCCAAGATGCTGTTATCTTTTTTTTTTTTTTTTGAGACAGAGCCTCAAGCTGTCCCCCTGGGTAGAGTGCCGTGGCATTACAGTTCACAGCAACCTCCAACTCCTGGGCTCAAGCGAGTCTCCTGCCTCCGCCTCCCAAGTAGCTGGGACCACAGGCGCCCGGCTATTTTTTGGTTGCAGCCGTCATTGTTGTTTGGCGGGTCTGGGCTGGGGATTCGAACCCGCCACCTTAGGTGTACGTGGCTGGCGCCTTAGCTGGTTGAGCTATAGGCGCCGAGCCCAAGATGCTGTTATCTTAAAGGAAACAACTGACACAGAATGACAAACAACAGAGCTAAAGCTAAATTACATGTTCACAGGAAGCGAGTGTGGACTGTCAGATGACAGAGACTTGGAAGAGCTGGGGGGCAAGTGACAAGAAATTACTTAATTGGTATGATGTATCCAGTGATGGGTATGCTGAAAGTCCTGACTTAAATACACATTTGTCTAATGAATAAGTGGAAAATCAGAAATGAGAACCCGTCCGTCTGGGCAAACAGGAAAGTGGGTTATCTTACTTGCTGCCTCTCCGCAACCACCCCATGTGGGCAGAGATGAGACCTGGTTTCCAGGTATCCTTGCAGCTGTTTGTAACACCATATTTGATGGGTGTGCCTAGAGAAGCCAGAAAAGTTTTACTGTTGGGAGAGGTCCCAGCAAAGGCTTTCGCAGGCCTTTTGGGTCCCATCTGAAATTTACCTTACTTTCTCATTAGAATATATACCTTGACCCTGGAGTTGGGGTAACCATCTTGCGGATATAAAGATCCAAGTCATTTCTTAAGTATAGAGGATCCAGAAAGAAGAGTGGCTGTCCCTGCTTGCCTAGAACTGCTAGTTTTTATGATATGTACTGTCAAAAGAGTTGTTTGTCCCACTTATTTATATACATTCACAGGGTGGTATAAGTGCACTATTACTGCAGTGAGGTACTGCATTGTGGTATGCGCTGCTTCCAGGTGTACACCAAAAGAATTTTTAAATTGTAAGAAGATACTGATTTGTGTTATGAACCTACAATAAAATAAAATTTAGAATTCGTCTGAAAAAGAATGAACTTGCTGGGCACAGTGGCTCATGCCTACAATCCCAGCACTTTGGGAGGCTAAAGTAAGAGGATCACTTGAGATTAGGAGTTCAGCCTGCAATAATACAGGCAAGACCCTCTCTTTTTTTTTTTT